CCCGCGACTTTTCTCGAATTCCCAGGCTACCGCCCGCCCGCCGCCTCCCCACCTTCAACGGAGAAAAGACGGCCGAGCGACGCCCAGCGCGACTAGGGTCGTCGACGCTCGCAGAGAAGAAGTGAAAGTGAAGTCGCGAACGCTCTCACGGGAGCCGAAAACAGAGATCGTGCATCTCGTGTAAAACGATAAAAGGTCGCGCTTAGGCATTTTCACGATGAGAATGTCGCGGATGGGCGAGGTTGTGGCCTCGAACCGAGGAGCCGCGATATCCAATTGGAGCTGCTGATTATTGGAAATTCATCGGAAATTCATCGGACTCATTTTCAAGCTCAGAATCAGCTCGGATGCTATGTCAGACGCCAAAGTCGTCAAGTCGTCGATCGAGTCGACTCGCTTCAACGCGGCAAAATAGTCTTAATAATAAAAAGAATCATTTTTTTTATTTTTTTTTTTTATTTTTTATTATTATTATTATTATTATTATTATTATTATTATTATTATTATTATTATTGGTTGCCGCGATTGGTTGTCGGTGTTCCAGGTTTCCCGTACGTACACATACGGCAGGCTAGAGGGCTTTACGATTGAAAATTTAGGTGATGAATGTCCTTGGCGAGTGAGTTGTCAGTGGTGTAAATTTAAAGCCTCGATGGATCGTTAAGATATACAGTATTATGACATATTGATTTAATTTAATTGGTAAATTAATTGGTTTAAATTTAATTTAACAATTCAATGGCCAATGAATTGTCCTGTTTGCTCGTTTGGGTGGGAATTGAAAGGTCGCTGCAATTGCCGACACTTTAATCAAATATCTTATTAACAGAAATTGTTAACAGCAACTCGCAACCAATGCATTGTCAAGTACGCAAAACATATTCACATTGTATGATGATAAGAAATTCCTAAGGCACGCATCCTTTGCGAGTTGGCTATTTCATGAAAACGTGAGATTTTAAATGCGTCGTTATCGTCACGATTCATCCGTGAACACGAAGCTTCGAAGAAATGATATTATTAATGCTGCTCGCTCGGCCAATAGCGAACGACGTCAAACGACAAATTAGAGATGATGTTTATTTAAACTAGCTAATGTGAAATTTTTAATTAATAAGCCTCTGTAAATAGCTCTGGCGTAAGAAAAAAAAATTACGAATGCTGATATTGTCAGTGGAGTGAGTGGGCGACGTTAAAATTTATTTAATAAATATGCTAATGCTCGAGTTATAATTGTTCGTGGGAGAAAGACGAGAATCGGACAATTTATATAGTATCGGAGAAGGTGGATTTTATTATTTTTAAATCAACCTTTAAAGAATATGCGACTATTGCCACAATCGTTGCAAATTGACTTGGCGAAAAGAACGAATGAAAAAAATTTCGCGCTTCACGCGAGCACGTTAAAGCAAAATTCTTTTTGCGTGACATTGATTTGCCACGATACGAGAAATCATTATATTCACGAAGATTATATATTTCCCTCGTAGAAATTTAATTAACGCGCTCTACCTAAAATCCGACGACAAGAGCTACATAAAGAGCTACATTTGCCTTACGTTCTCATTCGATTACTTCTGTTAATTTTTCTGTTAATCTTTCAATGGTTCCCCGTCTTGTTGTCGATTCATCGCTGTAATTGCGCATGATTCATTGTACGTAACGTGAAAAGCTTTGTAATCTAAACTAGGCAATAATGATCTACAATGAATCGTTGAATATTCAATTATTGGATGCTTGTGAAGCGGCAAAAGTCAAAATGATAATTATCTTTAATTTGACGAAATAATTCACGTACGTGTAATAATTGAGAAAATGAAAAGAGAAAGCGCGGGGGGAGGGGGAGGGGGAGGGGGAGGGAGGCATAACCTGTCATTACTTTGCGCGTCGGCCGTCTCAAACGGTCCGCGTGACATTCCGCGGGCTCATCATCTTATTCTTATACTTTGTAAAATTTTATAATGTCCATGAGCGTAAATTATTTACTTGATTCAAAGCAAAGTTAATACGCAAAAGAGACAAGAATGTAAAAGGGCCTTTTACGTAATGAATATTCTCTCTCTCTCTCTCTCTCTCTCTCTCTCTCTCTCTCTCTCTCTCTCTCTCTCTCTCTCTCTCTCTCTCTCTCTCTCTCTCTCTCTCTCTCTTTTTTTTTTTTTTTTTTTTTTTGAAGAAAATACACAACGTAAATTCAACGCGGATTTTGTATGAAAACATCCGTTACGAGAAAAAAATATAAAAGCACTCGACGCGAAAGCTTTATCCAGTCGATTCAACTTACTCACGCGACCTCTCGGCACAGCTAATAAAAGTCAATAATTATTCTAACGCAATTATAGCAGACGGAATGGATAATGGAAGCCTCGTCGTATCCTAATAACCCAAGTGGCTTAAGAAGACTAAGATTTGTAAAATTAGCAACCGGCTACCCCGAGCATAAGCTGGAATTATGGGCAAGTGAAATGATTCTCGGCCGACTAATAAGCAAACCTACAAGTCCGCTCCTCGTCCCATTCTAGACATCGTTCATCGTCGTCGATGTCGGCGACTCTTGGTGCTTTCGTTCGGATGATTCAAGCGACAGTGCCTCATCGAAGCTGGCGTTCGTACGATTTGAAAAAATACTCGTCAGTTGAATCGGGAAGTCAATTTTCCGTACACTTTACTGATCAAATCGATCCTTATGGAATCGTACGTGTGGTCTCGTGTCATTATTGTGGCTTTCGACCTACTCGTCAACCGATTACACCCACCTTGTTTCTTAATGTTGATCAAGTGGTCGGATCGGGACGAATATGCATTCCAAGTATCGCAAAAATGTCACGCCGAGGGTAAGTTTCGATCGGTTGGCGTTCTCTCGAGTCTCTGCAAAGTCGACGCTTTGCCTCGCGTATTGATACACGGAAGATTTTAACGAAAGGTCGAAATGAGCAATGGTCTCGTCGTGCCTCTTTGCAATGATTCTTTTAACATTCGTAATAAATAATAAAGTAAGCGTCTCGCGACTGACTTACATGAGATTTGTGACGATTAAAGGGATTAAGCGAGTTTTTATAATACTATCGTTGAACTATTAAAAATCCAAATGCCACGATGATTTGGCTAAAGCATGCGAAATACTAACGAAGTAGCGATAATTCTATCACATTCTATTAAAGATGGTTAAATAGTGAAAAGAGTCGCGCCTAGGTCAGCGTTAATTTTAATTCGTTAATTGTCGTGAATGTGTCCTAGAAGCGATCGAGCAATGTCGATTCAACGGCTAATAATCGGTCATCGATTCTCGCACACTCGGCTACAAATGATATTGAAAAAAAAAAAAAGAATACGCCATTATGGTTTTAAGCCTTGATTATCTAGGACTTTCAAATTGTCATAATCCGCATCATTTTCCAGCAAGCATGAGCTTTTAATTTATAAGGCAAAGCCCCTAAGATTTAGGCGACGCCTCTGTTTACGACGCTCGATAGAATTTTCTTACGCGTAGTATAGCAAGAAGCCTTTGCATCTTTAATTTTTCGTATTCGAGGATCTTTGCATATTAAACTTGGGATGGGGGGGGGGGAATATTCTTTTTTTTTTCTTTTTTTTTTTATGGACACCTCGTTATCCACAGATTTATTAGCGAAGACGTTGAAAAATGGAAATTAGTCAAACGATGGAGAAAAAGTAAGGATATCCTGTGGCTAAGCGTGACAAACGGAGGTGAACGAACGTTCGACTGATGGACATTTTGCAAGCAAATGCTTACTACAAACGTACTACGCATAAAATTCTCTAAAATAAAATGAACAAGTAATTAAATAAATAAATGGAAATATACCGAGATAATGATAAACGAATAGATAAAGATGAATAATGCAAAGGTCTCGCTAATTAAATGGAGGATGAAGCAAAACGGTTATTTATGTTTTGTCTCGTAGACGATGGTATGGCGCCGTTAAATAGGAACGAAAGAAATACTCGGTAATCCGCTCCGAGCCATCTCAATCGTTATCACAAGAGTTAGTAAAGTAGAAGTGGGATCACCTTTGTTCTCTTTAATTATGCAATACCCTTTACAAATATTTATTGCCACGTTGCAATTCACATTGGATGCTCATCGTTTATTATAATTGACGTTACGTGGCTTTAGTCCATCCCATTAATATTAACGGAAAAGTTAAATTTATAATTGGGAAACTTTAATTGGCAACAGCCAATTTCTAAACATTCGCTCCCAAAATGCGGGAATAAATCGCACGCACGATGGGTAATTGATCCGGAAAGGTGAGGTTAATTAAACACTCGGTGAATTAAGATATTTGCGTGTGAGTGAGCGAGCGATGGAGCGAGTAAGAGCCAAGAGGCAAACTAGCGAGCCAAAGCGTAAAATAACGTTTTCTAATTCGAGTCGGAAATTCCGCACGTCGTCTAAAAGCTCCATAATCGCTGCAACAGTCGGCAGTTTGTTCACCTCGTCGTCGACGCGGTGTTTCACGCGCATCCCCCGCCAAACGACAATCAAGAGTAAAATCAAACGATGTCTAGACGGTCGATGAGGTGCGACTGTCGCGTTAAGAATATTCGCACGATCGATCATTTAATTCGATTTGCCGTGGTGGAAAAACACGAGGAGTTCGTAGGCGCGTTTCACACGGAAGTCGTACGACCGCACGAGCAAGCATCCGAGGAAAATGTATCGGCGAACGGCACGTCCAGTGTAAAAGAAAGAAGAAGAAAAAAAAACTCGCCAGCTGATAAGGACGATTATCATAACTCTACGTATCGCGTGTCGACGGGCGCATAAGGAGCGAGCGAGGCAAAGAGAAGAGATGAGGACGTTCGTAGTAGTAGTCAGCCTCCCGATGTGTACGAGGCATTTCGCACGTTGCCGATCCGCGCGAACGAGGTCGAGAATATGTGCCTTTGTATTTGCATAAAGATCGTGAGCTGCCGGGGCAGTCGCTCGAGGGGGGGGGCGGTTGCGGCGATGGTGATATCGACGAGGAGAAGGCGGAGGGATGGCCGGACTTTCGGAAAGAGATTGAGCGTCGAGTTTGGACAGTCGCGATCGCGAATAAATCGTTGATGAATTATGGCCAGTTACGGCTCAGGCTTATTGTGGCCTCCTTAAACCTTAAAGTTAAGGAGCTCGTCGTTGAGTGTCGCTGTGACGCGAGAGGAGCGGGAAAAGGAAGGCAATGGCGCAATACGACGTGAGATCAGGCACAATCAATAAACCGTATTTTTATTACCCTGTCGCCTCGAGGTAATTTATAAACTTTGTTGATTTTCGTAAAGATTTACTTAAAGTTAGGATACATAGAAATAAATTCGTTGAAGCGTGAGGTGTGCTTGTAGAAGAAAAAAAAACATCTCTGCATCTTGAACGATTTTACAAAATAAAAATTTACCGACACCTTAAAAAATACACGTTTGTCAGCCTTTTAGTTTTCTTAGGCAGTTGCTTTTTTTTTTTTTTTTTTTTTTTTACAACAAAAATGTAATTAACATGTAATATGTATTAATTATCCGAATCTGAAATTTCTTTCTTTACTTTGAAAATCAATATGTGGCTGTTGATTGTACAATTCAATGTTAAAATTAATGCAAAATAAAATAACGCATTATCTAATTACAAATATATTTGTCATTGGAAAATTACATAGTAATATTTTTTATTTTTGAGAAATCAGGTTAATAGTATCTCGGTTTGTATGTCAATTGAAAAGATTTTAATTTAATAGACAGTAATTTTGTAATTACTTTTAATTTCATGAAACAAGAGGTTTTATGAGTAAATGCAAAATTTTATACAGCCAACTTCCGAAAAAATTATACAATTAAAATAAAATATATAAATAAACACTGTAGTGGATAAATTATTAATGCATATGTATTATGGATTGATGTATTAGGTGTTAATCAGTCAGAAAAATACTGAAAAAAACGTGGCCAGTAAATTTCTATTATTGAAAAGATAAATGTGTATTTAAATTGAGCTTAAAGTTTTGTGCTCAAATTATCATTATCATTATCAAAAGAACGTTCGAAAAATGTTGCTATAAGAGATAATAAAAAAAAAAAAAAAAAAAAAAAAAAAAAAAAAAAATTTAATTGAATTTTACATTCAAGCCAGTATTTTCATTAACATTGTCGTCTGAAAATTCGCACTTTAAGAATTATTCCTTGTGATAATTCACGCGCATCTTGCTCATCATGTAAAATTCTCACCCAAATCGAGCGATTGAAAATTTTTCAAAATATTGAGAAAGCATAATGACAATTACTTGTAGCAAAATGAGTATTAGGATTGCTGTATCATTTATTAGTAGAAAAACAGCCAATCGAGAGATCTTTACATACCCAAGAATTCGAACCTCAAAGTGAAAATGAAAAAATTCTTGCGTATACGCGCATAACCGCCGACAATTCCTTATCCCTTTGTAATGTACCTTTTACATGATAATAAATAAAAGACACACACACACACACACACACACACACACACACACACACACTTTCTCTCTCTCTCTCTCTCTCTCTCAAATTGTATTATAACATCGAAGCCCTTGAACAAGAAATTCTTCGATAATGTTGATTCGCGCAAGTATGCGTTGTCATGAAAACGAAAACGACAGTCAAACAGCTTTTGCGACAAGTGACGGCTCGTTACTTAACAAATATAACCCTATTATTGCGCATCGTAATACGCAAATCGACTAAATCAATAATTCTTTCTTTTTTAAATTCTTTCAGCGAATGAATAGAGAAGATGCCTGGTCACCGTCAGCCCAATTCCCTCGAGGGACTTAGCTTGGGCCGAGTGTGTCAATTACTTGACGGGACGTGCCGACGCCTACAAGTCTTATCGCAGGAGTCGTCCGCGAGCCAAGTGCTCGCTTACGCCAAGCAGACCATCCGGCCCTACTATGCGAATTCCCTTACCGCCCGACTGCGATCTCAGGTGATCGAGGAGACTTCGCGGATGCTCTACGGACCCTCGACCGATGGATCGAACCTCATTTCCGGGCCCGCTCCCCTCTACCTCCTGGCACTTCTACTCGGCCACGATATCAAAAAGCTCAAGGTCAATCTATGCTGCTACTACGGCTGTAGTCATCAGACCTCGTTGCTCAAGCTACTGGCGACCGAAGGCATTGGACTGGAGTCCCTGGAATTAGCTAGGTCGGCACTGCTGCGCCTCGATTGCAAACTGCTGCGATCGGCCCTCGTCAACATGAAGAACCTCCAAAGACTGACGTTACGTAATATCGCCAGTGACGCGGTACTCCAGGTCGTGGGTAAATCTTGCCCGAAGCTCGTGATCCTGGACGTGGCGTGCTCGAGACAGGTGACGGACGCCGGACTCAAGCAGCTGTTACTGCACGTCGAATTCCGCGACAGGGTGCCACACCAGGCGAATCAAGAGGCCACGAGCTGGTCGCGTTTGAAGAGTCTGCTAACCAAACTCAAAGTCCGCGGTCCCAAATCCGAGAAAAGAGATAAGCAAGTTTTGCTCGATCACTGCGAGAGCCGTAACCTCCTGTGCGACAGTCTCAAGGTCCTGAACGTGGCTAATACAGGGGTGACGAGCGCCGGGGTCCTGCTGGCATTGATGAACGTGCCTCAACTGGAGTCGTTGGCCGAATACAGCCACATGGGTCGGGTTGTCGAGATTATGAACCGGGGCGTCATCGACTTTAAGACGCCCTTCAGCCTCACCCAAGCGCGCAGTTGTAGGACAACACCGGCGCGCCTGGAACTCTTGGCGCAGGCCTGTCCGCGTGTCGAGAAGCTGCATATAGCCGAGCCCCATCATCCGCCCGAAGCGCTGAGGCTCTTTCCTTATGTCACGTCGCTCAGCGTTTACGGCATACCCGTGCAGAAGGAGTGGCTCGAGGGCTTCTACGGTTACTTGAAAACTAACGGTCATACATTAAAGGAGCTGGACATGCGCATCGCCCAGAGCGAGGTGCCGCTGGACATCGATCTCAAGGAGATATTCTTCAGCTGCGCGAATTTGCGTAGCTTCGTCAAGGACGGCTCGAACGTCATTTGGTCGACTGGGCCGGATCCTCCGACGCTCAAGTACCTCAAGAGAGTTCAGGTTGGAAGGATGGTCAGTGCCCTCGCTATTACCAAGATACTGTCTCTCGCCCCGTGTCTAACGGCCCTACACGTCCACAGCTGCTTTGACTTAACGAACGAACAACTGGAGAGATTACTGAGCGAGCCAGCCAGGGCTAATAAGTCGTGCGCTTCGACATTAAAACGATCGGAGGTGGTTACGCAGAGCAATAGTCTGGTGCGAAATCTCGAGTGCTTTTACATTTACGAGGCGAGCAAAGTCTCGGCTTCCACTGTCTTGAATATGTTCAAGAGCTGCGGAAAGCTTAAGAGAATCGGCAACCTCGCTAATTGGGGTCTCGACTGCGAGGGCGTGAGGACATTGAGAAATACATTGGCCATGGCGAATTTGGACGTTGATTTATGCCCGGGATCGCATTGGTTCTGGAATGATTGTATACAATAGCGATGAGAATATAACATAAATATACAATAGTGGATCGTTGGTTGGGAAATGCTAGGGCGGGAGAATTTTATTCGTTCGGTCATTCGGCCTTGTTAGACGATTCATTTAGTTCTCTTGCGTCTAGAAGCTATTGACAATTTTCGACGAGTATAGCGAACGACCTTTTTCCTTTCATTTGCAAATCTACGACTGACCGAGAGCAGCGTATCACTAAAACGTTCTTTTAATAAATAAATAAATAAATAAAAAAATAAAAAAAAAATAAACCAAACGCGCAGTGATGATCTATCGTTTGCTATATAATAATAATAATAATAATAATAATAATAATAATAATAATAAGAAGAAGAAGAAGAAGAAGAAGAAGAAGAATAGTAATAATAGTAATAACAATAATAGTATCAGTAACAGTAACAGTAATAATAATAATAATAATAATAATAATATCAATAATGATAGTAACAACAACAACAACAACAACAACAACAGCAGCAGCAGCAGCAGCAGCAATAATAATAGTAAAGAAAACCATAATGATGTACTCGAACTTTTATAATTATGCGCGACTTTAGATGCCAACTAATGGGTAAATATGTTCGATTTTACAACAGCTCTTACACTTGACACACACGCGCACGCGCATGTGCGCGGACGATTTGCCCGCGGCGCTAATGTATGTATGTGTATATATATATATATATATATATATATATATATATGTAGTATGGGACCGTTTGTTTGTGTGTTGCGTTGTGTGTTTGCTTGGAAAAACAATATCGACTCGTTATCTAACAATTGTATACCTGCCACTCGATTTCATACCATCTTCTTTTTCATACAGCAGACTGTAAATTCATCAGTATTAACGACTCCGTTGGGGGAGGGGGAGGGGGAGGAGGAGGAGGAGGAGGAGGAGGAGGAGGAGAATTGTGATCCTACGTGCGTTCGTACATATACAGTAAGAGCCACTGCGCGCGCAAAGAATTATAATTCTATAATTACAACGACGAGCAGAACAGCCGTTGGAGTCGAAGAATTAATTGCGATAAATAAGCACTTGCCATCGAAGAGACGGAATTTTGTGATCCCGCACAAAAGATATTGCAGTCGGAATAGTAAATTTGAGCAAAGGCTAGCATGCCTTCGGTATATCACTATCAGCCAATATTCTTATCTCCGTCGTCACGGAAAACTGTATCGACGTTAAACTAGTTTAAGGAAATATTAGTATTTAAGATGTGTCCCTTAATATGCGACCAAGTATGCTTTGATCGTTCTATTATAATAATACGCTAGTTTCTTAATACGTAAATGCTAATTAGAAATATGATTCTACGTAATTATATGTAGTTACATAGCAATTTGTTTCTGTATTTATGAAATTGAACTATATAAATCTTGTAATATTTATACCCTCGTGCTCGTTTTTACGGCAAGAAACGTAGAATTGCGCCGCTTAGATGTTGCCGATCGTTTGGAAAATAATCATTTCGTATCTATTATCCGTCGTAGACAACAACAACAACAACAACATCAACAACAACAACAAACAAACCAACAAACAAAAAAAAAAAAAAACAAAAAAAAAACTCAAAAATCTTTTGTAAACTATAACGAACTTCAATAAAATCTTGCTAGAAACATACTTGTATTTATTTCACTTGCTATCATCAAGCGCATGAAAGACTCCAGTCCCCCCCCCCCCCACACACACACACACACACACGCGCGCGCGCACGCACGCACGCACGCACGCACACACACACACAATAAATCTAAGCACTTTAATATCAAAATTAATGGGTAGTTTTAATTTAGCGTTTAATATTGATTGTACTTGCCTCTGTAAGACCGTGAGACTGTAAAAGTACGTTGATTAATTTTGTATCCGTCTGAAAGATTTTATAGGTCATGTGCAGCTGTTTGGCCGGTGGATCTTCCGGGGGCTCGGCAAGCGCTGAACATCTACAATAACAAAAACACATGATGTATCCGCAGTCGGAAATCGATTAATTAAGAATGAGATAGATATATACTTGAACCGTAATATCGGTGTTTTATTACTATTTGGACTGCTCAGCAGCCATTCGTTTTTCTGGGAGTTTCGATCCTTTGCCATGCCACTGCAACATATTATATGCATTGAAAAAAAAATAAAATAAAAAAATGCTGAATCTTAACGAAGGTGAACGATAACCATACGTTAGAGTTCAACAAAAACGGTAAGTTATAAGGTTTATGGTAATAATAAAGAGATAAAGAGATAAAGAAATAAAGACGACATAAAATATGAATATTTGATTAAATCATGATAATGAGCTAAAGCAAAGTGTTCACCATCATTTATAAATGGCGTATACAAAAATTACAAATACATTATTTTATTGAGCCTCGAGCGCGCATTTATTTACTCATTAGCCGAAGATTTTATTAATACTGATCGATGATTTGTTGACATTATAGCCAAGGTCCTAAGGTAAATCAAAGCCAATTGTATGAATATGATATTCATAATTAACTTTTTTTTCTTCTTTTTTTTTTTTTTTTTTTCGAATACAAGTAATAAGTATGAATATTGTTTGCGTTTAAACGTTGGATTAACGCGGATAAGGCTATTTATCATAAAATTCTAGTCTTTGTCTTTGTAATAAATGTCTCGCTCGACATACCACTTTTTTTTTTTTTTTTTTTTTTTTTTTTTTTTTTTTTTATTAATTTACCAACGTAATTAATAATAATATCTCACCTTATATCGAATGAGAAAATACTGTATAATAGCGCATTTTGAGAACAATGGGACAAAGCGATCGATCAGCAAAATTATTTATAAGCGCTCTTTTGTTCCTCTACGTTAGTAAAAATTGCGCTTTCTAGAAATGCGATGAAGGAGGGGAGCGGTCGAGCCATAAAAAGGAAGAGACGCTTTTACGGAAGCTAAAGCGCTTTGCATTTTGCATACGCCGAAGGTCTTTGCGCGCGCTGAAACGCGGAAAGAATAACGCGCGTGAAATGTTAATGGGGCTGGTGTCGGCGTTGGCGGTGGCGGCGAAAGCGTTGAAAAAAAACAAAAAGAAAAACAAAAAGAAAAACAAAACATAAAACAAAACATAAACGAGCGATTTTACGACAGCGTGCTGCTAATCGCCATTTAGCGACAATTGTTTTCTCGCTCGCTCATTTGCCAGCTAATCTTGCGATACGCCTGCCCCGAACACACTTCTCCCCGCTTAATTCACAGCTCTCGTTTTCCCGTCCCAGCAGCGCTCGACACAGCATATTGTTTATTTAAAATTTCCGCTGATTATTGGATGCGCTGGGAATGAAATTCTCGACGACCAAGCAACTTCACTCTTCGCTTCGAACGGCTCCCCCTTTTATATGCTGAAACGGGCTAATTTTTACAATGGCTGCTTCAGCACATGCTCTATGTAATTCAATTTCGTATGAAATTGATGAAATTATGAAGAAGAAAACAATGAGAATATTTACCATAGCATGTAACCGTAACCATCGAGATGTCTAATTAAATAACTTTTAATATAAATATGTTGACCCTTAACAATGGCAAGTCATAGCTGTTAAAAGCGCGAGAATTTCAAATGAAATTAAACGGAATCCTTGCTTTAACGATAATGATTTTATTGTCATTTTTTCACGTTCAGCGCAATATAAAAGTATATGAAAGTAAACGTGCGTAATATGATAATGATGATGGAAAAGACAGACATATAATCGAGCATTTGAAATGTAATTAGGTAAAAAAATAATTAAAAAAAAAAGCAAGCTCAGAAGTTTATATCAATGAATAATATAATTTTTATTTTACGGACTGTATGCTCTCTCTCTCTCTCTCTCTCTCTCTCTCTCTTAATGACAATATGATAAATCCATATAATTCTAACAAGTAGTTATTTTATTCACGACTACATAATTACGAACCAATTAAACATTACAATTGATTGTATACGTTGCCCAAGATAATTTATAAATTATCGGAATCTGATATAAAATATCTCTTCGATTTGAAAGAATAATTCGTTAGTCTAACTTGGATTGTGTCGTTTTCTCGAGTAACGTCAGAGTACATTATTAGATATTCTTAACACTTACATACAAAATGAATTATAAATTATTATTATTAACGTGTTAAATAAATATTTCAATTTTTATCATGGATATGTATTTGTAGCGTTTTAATGGAGCCATTGTATGAGAAAAATAATTTTTACCATCAAGTCACAAATATATAAGACTAGCGATCAGCAATTAATCTTAAATATTTATATAGAAATTTTATATATATATATATATATATATATATATACATATATATATATGTATGTATGTATGTATGTATGTATGTATGTATGTATGTATGTATGTATGTATGTATGTATGTATGTATGTATGTATGTATAATGTAGATTCCGTAGACTCTCGATTAGTTGAAATATAAGTTTTTCAGCATAACTATTGCTCGTTCTACGCAGACTAGTTAATGTAATTGATCAAAAACTATGGTAAATAATTACGGCAACGAAGTAAATAAATTACTTTTCTCCTAACAAAAGTATTGGCCGTTAAGTCAAGAGGCTGTAGAACGTAGGCATCGATCACGATCATTCGCCCGAATCTTTACTTGCAACAATATAACATATATTGTATAATGTGAAAAGCCATCGTCTAACATTTATTATCCACAGGGTGGTTAATTAACAAAGTCGATAACGAGTTCACGTTTATAGCAATGTATCGTGCAGTCGCGCTAACTCTTCGCTGCCAGAATGCATTCGAGTTTCATCGAATCAATCACCGGTCAGCGCGGTTATGCTACACAAGAGCATGCAGATATAAATGAGCGAACACTCGAAGCCGAGGTTGATTGATCAATGTTGGTGATGCTTTAACTTCGTATAGGTTACGATATAGGTTACGCCTGTACGTGTGTTCGGCGACGAATCCAAGTGCTGAAACGCGTGAAACATAAGAAGCAGCGCGGAAATAAAAAGAAAGTCAATGAAATCGAAAGGGCGAGCGAGAGAGGAGAGAGGAGAGAGAGGAGAGAGATAGAGAGAGAGAGAGAGAGAGGCGATCATTGTTGTATTTTTTTTTTTTTTGGGCACGCGGGTGACTTCGGGAGCTGAGAGTAAAGAAGCAACAGAATCTCAATGAGACGTGCGCCAGGAGTCGCGCGTAGCTGCGCAATAGGCATTTCTTCCACTTTCTAAAGGCTATTTATTATAGGGAGAGCTAAGCAACCCTTTGGATTGGCGAAGCAGCGCGGCTAACGAAGGCAGCACGGGGAACGGAATCGACGGAGCTCGTAAATGGAAACTGGCGCCGGTCGGTAATGGCGGCACCTGCTCGATCTGTGCTTAATAAAAATGCGCGCGAAACTCGGTCGGGTCTGTCGCGTGAATTACGTTGTCACGGCATTATAAAATTTGTAATGAGTATCGATCGGGGAGGTGGGTGGGGGAGCTGCGCCCATACTACTCGCTCCACGTATCATTATAACCCATTCGTTGTCCTTCATTCGAATTTATCCACCAACTTGCTCTTTTCACCCCCCCACGTCGGTGTTAACATTTCACTGCCCGCATATGTTGCCACGGCGTCCGTAACACTCATTACCAATTAATCTCATCAATGTCGTATTCCAAGAAATGCCATTCCCATTCCTCGATTATTATATTATTTTCTTACGGCTTATCGCTTTTCCTTTTAAAAGAAACCGAGTCGAATAATAATCCCGTATCTTGCTTACTACGCTCATACATCGCAATACCGTGGATATTTAAAAATTAAAGCACTTATGATCGAATCTTTGCCCTAATAAATTGAGATGTATTTTTAAGTGGCATTTATGTTAATTATTATAAAATCTCACGCGAAACATCATTTTATATTGAGTAAGTTTAGTTCTGAGCTGTCGCTACTTTTTTATTGTTTTTGCTTCTTCGTTGCGCGTATGAGAGTAGCTGTAGACTGAAGTTGAAATGCAGATGCAACAACAATAACAGTATCATATACTTTTGTTATAATATAAAAGGATGTTTTAATGTAATACAATTCGATCAATTTGAAAAGCTGATCCGATCAAGTTTTTGAACTATAAAGTACGACGAGTTTAATGTTCTTTGTAACCTTGAATTTGTTGAAGATTCATCTTATCGACGCTATATAGATAACTTTTCACTCGCTAAACTTTATTATTTAATACGTTAAATAATATAACATCTTAAATGCAACTTATTAGAAGATACATGGGATACGACAATTTTAATATGATGTATGCCACGCGAGATATAATTCTATGGTTAAATATTAGAAAATGAGCTCGCTTCGATAAAGTCAAAGTCGAATTTAAGCAAAGAAATACGATATCTTTTCCAGCAATTTCGGACGACTTTATAACGATTGCTTAAACTTTGAGGGAATAAAGAACAAAATTAATTGATGCATGTATTACGACACTGTCGATGCAATGGAATTTACTTAAAACAACGTATCGACGTTGCTTACAACAACAGGGTATTAATGGCGCGTATGCAAGATTTTATAAAAGTTCATTGCAAAATGTACGAGCGTGTATGTAGTTATTTATGTATTATTTATGGAGCGCACGCACGCATAGAACAGATGAAAGAAAAAAAAAAAAAAAAAGAAGAAGAAGAAAGAAAAAGAAAGAGAAAACCAAAAAATATTAAGAATGGTGGAATATAGTGGAGGCACAGTGCGAAAGACGCAAGATGCACGTGCACGTACATAAAAAAAGATAGGTATAAAAATGCATTTTGCCAGATAGTCACCTGTCAGATTGCTCGCTAGTGTGAGATTTGTGAACAAATGGCTCGAGAGCCTCCTCACTGCTATTTGACAATTGCGACATGCCCGAGAGGCTAGACGACGACATCAGTTGCTTCGAACGTTTACCTTCCAACTTGCCAGCTCTAATGCTCTTCATCTGCAGCAACATTTTGCATCTGCAACGACAGGAAAGGGAAAGGCTAAGGGTTAATATACGTGTTTGCTTTGTTAATTTTATTGGCGAATTATTTCCTTGAGTTATACGCGGTTGTCAATTGACAATGACATTAATTAATTATGATTATTGACATTGCTATTGTGCCACGGTGTATAAGACAACGTTCACGGAAATATTGACCAAATAGCTTAAATATCTTTCCTTAGATTATCCTATTGCCGAACAAGATTAAATTTTCAGCGTTATTTTATTGAAATTATAAAAGTAAGATAAACGCTTGGCTTACATAGGTTACATTGCGCGTGTAATTTGTATCTTATGATCGGAAAGCGTACGTACGGCTACGAGTTAAATTACAAACTGAACAATGTGTCGAAATAGTTTAGGAATTGGCAAAGTCAATGTTTTCGTTCAACGATGTTAAACAATATCTTTTAAGCGATTATACGAGGAATTGAAAATTTAAGAAAATGAAATTTTCTGAGGTATATGAATTAAGGTTAGGACATAATTAATATTTATCAATATTATAATACATTGGATGGTAAAAGCGAGTTAACAATTAACCTGCGATATCTAGTAATTTTATGCCATACTAGGAGTAAATAAATGTTTACTTTTCTATTGATATTAGCAAAACAATTAATTTCAATAACACATTTCAATATTGATAATATTTATCATATATACAGCGAGAATTTTTAAACTTGTCGCCAAGTTTTATCCAACGCTATTATTATACATATAATTACACATTCGGGAATTAATCAGTACAATACCTTCTTCAATCTTAATTCATGCATGATTTGCGCAATGAGCACAATGTCTTTTTCACGAATGGTGATTATATTTTTTTGTAATAGTGAATTCATCTTTCACTAATTGTATTGGCGCTATTTTCTTGAAGGATTTTATTATGGATTATTATTTTATTTAAAATTAATAATTTTTAAAATACTAGACGAAATAAATATTAATTTTTTTAGTTTCATTACAATTCTAACCTATTTTTTTGTTTTATGTTTTCTTTACTTTTTTTTTTTTTTTTTTTTTTTTTTTTTTTTTTTTTTTTTTTTAATGTTATTGTAATAAATCGATGTGCAATGAAATAATGAAAGATAACTTTAATTTTTAAACCAGAATGAGTATATATTAGTTAAAATTGTTTTAAGATATTCACATATTTCCTTGAGTATTACTTAAATCACTAATAACTTATCTTTGAATTGTATGATCGATCGAAATTAAAATGAGAGGGACACTTAGTACAGACATTTTGTTTGTTTGTTTGTTTTCTTTTTGATTTTTTTTTTATTTATGATGTCATGCTCTCTTGATAAAGTATCGTTCTTTATATCCTACAATAAAATATCACTTTTTAATAATTTAATATAATAAATAAATAAATATTAATAGTTGTTAAATAAAATTTTGTTAAGAGCTATCCGATTAGAAGGGAACGCTAAGTAATTTTTAACTATGTTTATTTACGTGAAATGCAAATATTTCAGAATAAATATTATATGCTTTTTTCTTAACTAACAAAGTATTTGTATTGATGAGAACTATTGCAATTTGAATGAAGAGAATGACAGAAATAATGATAAATTAGCGTGCTTTTTCCATACAAATGTTTCTAATTCAATAATTCGAAATAGACGAGGAATTAGTTTAATATTATCGAAGCTCCTTATTATCTGATTAATTTTACTTTTATTGAAATGAAAAATATCTATAAAATTGATTATGAATTATGCATAATAATTGTAAACAATTTGTCCAAATTGCGCTGCTTAGACGTTGAGTAATATTTGTTATGACTTAGTCTTCCGATTTCAGAGTGAACATAAAATTGTATTTTTAAGAAATCGAATATTTAAACAAATTTTTACACAAATCATTATAGTTATATATATATATATATACATATATATATATACATGCCGTGTAAAACATTATTTTCCGCAATTACTTACCCTAAAGACTTATAATTTTAATAACCAATCCTCAACAATCAATGTACAATGATATTTAATAATTATTATAGAGTATAACGAGTATATCGTTTTATTGCCAACATACAATAAACTAGGTGTAAGCGTAAAAGAAATAATTCTTGTTAAGATAGTGATAAGCTCGTCAAGGGGTGAATCGATCGTTATCGCAGATGACGTTACGAGTTTTTATCGCTTTATTTCAGGGTGGCATAATACCCATCGTGAAACTTAACTGCGCGATCAAACTGTATGAGTAAGACTATGAGTAAGTGAATGCTCACCCACGCAAACGTCCGTGTTTCACGACAACAGTGCTACTTTGCATTTTGCTCAGCGCTAATACATCAAGGCCGATATACTTACTCTTTTACGTCGCGCGTTACATAAATCAATCTCTTGATTCAATATTATTGCGTATGAAATAAGCACAAATTGGTGAACCTCTCTCTCTCTCTCTCTCTCTCTCTCTCTCTCTCTCTTTCTCCCGTTATTTATGCTAATACGAACTTTGACGAAAATTGTGTAAGATTTTTTTTCCCATTTTTTTTTCATTCTTCTAATTATTAAGTTAATAGTCCAGTGCTCTTTAAATGCCTATAGTGCGAGGCTGCCGGTATGTTTTATTAACGACTAAATAGTATTGGAGATAATGAAGTTTTGAGTTACTGAAATATTAAGTGTTTTATTAATATAATGAACGAAATGATTTTTTTTAATTTGACTGCCTTTGATTTATATAGGTACGGTAAAGTCTTTTCTCAATAATAATTCTTCAATTTACCTAAGGTAAACAGTTCCATTTGAAATAATATAAAAATATTATATACATATTATCTATTACTATACATTAATATATTAATGTATTATAACATTTTATTACAAGAAAGTACCAAAAAGTTTCGTAAAAGTTTGAAAATTGCAATGACATAATTTTAATGCCCAATAAATAATACTTTCAATGCTGTATGGCAAAATATTGATTTTTTTTTTTTTGCATCGAATAAATAAATTCACACGAAGATTTAATATTTTAATGATAATATTGAATGCTTCGATTAATTAAATAAATTTTATTCTAATATTTAAGAATTATTGAGATAAGGATAGGACAAAACGTATGTATGCTAAACTCTATAGTGTTATTATACTTCAACAGTCGTAGTTATTTTAGTAAATGAAACAGCGAACTTACATTAAGTAGATAATAAAAAATATATATCCTATAAATTACAACTAATAATAATAAATTTCTGTAGCAGAATACGATAATTAACATTCGATGTATTAATATAAAATATTGAAACATAGATTATAGGATTTTAATTTTTATTACCAATATTCTTCTATCTTTAAATCAATAATATTACCTACGTAGTTAGACACTCGAGAATTCTATAAAATATAAAAAAGAAAAAAAACTACATGCTTATTTAGACCTTTAGAGCTCTAAGAAATAAATTAATTGAAATGTCTTGCAAGAGATTGTTAATGATATTTTCGATATTTTATGTTAATATTATTTCACGCAAACCTAACCATAAAGAATCTTTTCTATTAAATTCATTCGTACAAGACATTATATGATGTAATGAAATTTTTTTTAATATTATAAATAGTCCATTAGTATGTGTGAAATATTTATGTCAATAATATCTCATAAGCACTAAGATTAAAGAAAACTTTGGATTAAAAACGAACAGTCGTTCTTTTCTTACTACTGCTTTTGTGCGTTGAAACTTTCTGCTGATTGCGCAATAAGTACCGTTACATGCTAAATAATGTACAAGAATTATTGAAAGTAATTTACGAAGATCTATTGAATTGCTACTTTACTTGCGATTTCTATATAGTAAGATACATTTTAATAGTTTAGTCTTTCCGAAGATTAAAGCAATAATAATAGTTTCAACGACTTGTTATAAAATTTCATTTCTAAATACGAACTGTAAATTATGATCGAATTATGGTCGTAAAGCTATTTATCTAATCAACGGATCAGAATTCCGAATTCAATTCGAAAGATGTTGAGAACAAATTCGATGTAAACATTGGACAGGTAAGCGAGACCGATGCTGCCAACGCTAAAGCTATCACAGAACAAGAGCGAAACAATCAATTTTAAATAATCGCATAAGAAGTATTGAGAAATGGCCATAAATCCTTTTTAGTACATGTTTTTTTTTTCTTCGACTAATAATTATTTTATCATACCTTGAACGTACGCGTTTGTCTACGATTCGCCTGCCTATCACGATTATTAGATAAAACTTTGTCTCTGTTAAAATCTTTTCACAGTTCGCGAATAAATTTAGGGCAAAGTTGCTTAAACTAAATTATTATAAGTGTTTATGATTTTCCCTCGTGAATCTCAAATTCAATATGCAACTCTGTACACGTGTTTCTTTTACCATTCTTATAAATAACGCAATTTTATGCGTATCGCATAATAATTAATTGAACGCCTGAACGACGTTGACTTGACAAACTTGCAAACAAACAAACAAACAAACAAAACAAAACAAAACAAAAAAAAAAAAAAGATAAATAAATCAACAGAAAAATGTAAATTTTTAACAAGATTTTACGAATGATGAATTTTCAAATAACCGGAAAATACATTTCATAGATATTAATATTAAATGATATTAATAATATTTTTATACACAGTTTGCTGTAAAGTAATATAAGTAATTTTACATCACATTTCAATTCTCATTTCTCTGCTAATACAATTGTAAAATTGTTTTCTCTTAAAATAAGATAATTAAGGGAATTCTTAAATAGGCAATTAATAAATCGCGTATTGAAGTTATTTTTTTGAATTACGTCAAATCATATGTAAAATTAAAATAAAAAAAAAAAAAAAAAAAAAAAATAGTGCAGCCGTTTAGCCAGTACATATAAGACAAATTTCGACGATTATAATTTAAAAATAGTGAAAACGCACTCCCAAATGTGTCTAGCTTGTGATATTCAAAATGATTTGCAAATGCGCGTTGCA